ATGACTGACTCTATATGCATGTGCGTGTATGTCTTAAATACAATGTAATCTAAAAGAAGTCTTTATGTATTCTGCTATGCATGAATTTGTTAGGTTATGAGCCTATGTAATCTGTTGGGTTAATAGTCAAACCATATATCCTCATTGGAACATGTATATAATGACAACTACAAGGTGTGTTTTCAGCAAATACAAATACCAGATTTTATCATTCATTGAGCACTTCACAGACACTTGAGAAATGGAATTTAAATTTCCTAGTTAAAAATATAAAAATATTGATCACTGATCATTTTGGTACGATCCAAAACAGTTCTAAAAGGCTATAGATCTCCACAATGCTTAGTCTGTATAAATTAGCTTCTGAACAGCATAGTCTTCCATTGGAATGCTGTCTCCTTTTCAATTTTCTCTACAGTCTGTTCATATGTCTTAGGTGAAATCAGAAGTATGTGTAGATAGAGGTGTTGTTTGTTGGGAACCACCCTGCCTGGTTTCAGAAGCTGTAACCACCCCTCTACCCATGGCTAAGGCTGGGTGAGTGACCTTCAGACCATAAGCCACTGAGACAAAGCTTATCTCCCTGGCAGGAGCACCACCTCTGCTGCTTTTACTTCACCCTGCCTGGCTCCCAATGTTTGATTGGTCAGCCAAAAACAGGTAAGATTCCTCAAGGGAGGGACAACCTAAGACAGGCATGATCACAGGGGCCCCCAGGGAAGGACTTGGGGGCTACAGAAGAGGGGTGATGGACCCTCGCCCCTTGGTTTTGACATAGCCTGAGTCCTCATTCTGTCTGCAAGAAGTCTCCTAATCTCTTAGCTGCCTTACTCCCCCTACCTGACCTAAGCCTGAAACATGACTTAAGCCTGAAACAATGCTGGTGGTAGGTGCTGCCCTGTGCTGGAAAGGGTGGGTTCCCTAGGGTGATCAGACCTAAGATAGAATATGTAAAATCCTGTGAAATCTGCTTTGTTAAGAATGCTCTCACTTAAATGATAAGAGTCCAAGCAGGAAGTGAGTTTGTTCCCCAAAGTTTTATGGCCCTTTAGCTATCTGACCCTGACTCAAAATAAGCCCTAGTAGTTCTTTGTGTTATCTATTGTTTGATCCTTACTGCCTGACAATGATTAATGAGCTTTACTTGTATTCCTGTGCAAAATGAACCTAATAAAAGCCCACTGAGGAAAAGGCTCTTGGCTGTTCTCCTTTGAGAGATCCACCACCTTTACTCCCCAGGCAAATCATATCTGGGTAGACTTATTCTCAACTGTGGTGGCCAGGGCAGGGGGGCCCTGCAGGCAGAGCCCCCCACAGTTATTTTCTTTTAGTAATGATTCAATAGTGATAGGAGTTATTCAGGAAGTATCAACAATTTATAAATTTATGAGATTACATGGGATATGCTTATTAAAATTATATCTTTCTTCATTTCTGTTTCTGATACTTTAAATTAATAATCAAATTGAAAATGTACTAAACATATTCCTTATATATTCTCTCATATACTTCCTTATACATTCTCTGGATAGAATTATAAAAACGAATGAACAAATAAACATCATATATAATTACCAATAGTACACAGACTGTGTGAAAAGTCCAGAAACATAAGGAAAATATTTTGTTTACTATGTTTTTTCAGATTAATAATTGGCTAAAATTTAGAAATGCTTTACCTATAAAAGACTGTGGGGAATAAAGAAATATACATTATATATCTACAATATCTTATAGAAATGTAACTACATCTTGATTTTATTTTTACTTTACATGGTGAAACTCAGCTGCTCAGGATCCGATTAATGATAATTTTTGGTTTGTGTCATTTTCATCATTGGTTTAGACATGGCCACTTTCATTCATTTTTTTAGATTACTTAATTATTTATTTTTCATAGTGGAATAATCATCTATAAATCCACTATCCAAAACAAAAGCTAGGACTCTAACAACATCCCACATCCACCCTCTAGTTCTACCACCAACCCATCCCCCTCCTTCCTCTCACCCAAAGGATCCAGCACCCAGAATCTTAGGGTCATTGTTGCTTTGATCTCATTTTAGTGATATGTAGATCAATATAAAGTAATTAATCACTAAATTATATGCCTTAGTTTGAGCTAGTTTTTTTCTAACTCTTCTCTCATATCATTGTAAACATGGTTAGGACAGTGATATGTAGTTTTTACTGCCACAGTGCTCTCTTCTAATACCTCCCCTCCCCAGGCAGACTGCCTGGACATAAGATCATATATTCACTCTAAGCTCTCCAGTCATTCACTCTTCCTTACTCTAGAAACCCCATCTCATCCTAAGTGATTTAAAAACATCTGAAATATTTCTATTGACTATGTAGGTATATAAAAGTTTTATTTTATTAAAATATACAGTGCTATACGGACACATTTACAAACTCCCAATTGTTGGATTGCAAAGGCATACAGAACTGGCCCAAGTGGTTAAAGATTTTTTAAAAGTTATTCAATTAGATTTCTGAATTTTCGTGTTTCTTTCTCATAAGGCATTAGTTACTTAGTTTGAATGCAAAGTCACATTTAAGTTTCATCTTGGGCACCTGAAATAAAGAACTAATGAATGTCCTTTAAATTGGAAAACAGCAAGAATAGGAGAGAAATGCTGCTGCAAACCTCCTCAGTCAGCAAAAGCACGGTAAGTGGGATGACGATTCAAGGTGTTTACCACCCTTTGTTAAGATACATAAAATGTTCAAGAGTAGAAGAGTGAGGGTAGTGGTTAAAATGGGGTAGGAGCATAAAAATGTGGTCCTGAAACCTTCCTGCCTATCCCACCTCAGTAACTTGGACAGTAGTGTCCAGTAAAATAAAGTGACTTTGCAAGTGTGGTATGTATTATTCATGAAAAAGCAACTTTCATTCTGAATATAGATATTTAAAAGCATCAAGCATGTTTAAGGGGGCTTAGTTGAAACTGTGCATTTCTGATTATAACACTTGCTCACTGTGAGCCAATACAGACATATATTTCTCAAAATGGTGTAGAATTGCCAAAGTTGCTCACCAGAAAATTCTTTCATAGACAGCGCAGTGTTTAAGCTTTCCTCTCTTCACTTTTCTTTAACACCTCCCCACTTCTAAATGAGTTGAAGTGGTTCTATTTAAACAAAAGACACATTGAAATTCTCAAGAAATTGACTCACCTATCTTTTAAGTTGCAGGGTATTTTTTTACAATATACAATATGCGTTATAATGTTATAAATATTTTAATTTCTTAAGGATATTGAACTCCAGTGTCTTTTAAAAAGGGCCTTTACAACTTACTGCTGCAAATATTAACACTTAATCATAGGAGAAAAATAACATTAAAATGGTTCAGGGAGAGAAATCACACATGGTGGAGTTGTTCTCAAACATTAGTAAAGCCACTAACTCAGTTATATATAATCTATAAGTTTGAAGAAATTATGAATCATTATAATGATAAGAACTGTAAGCAAGGTTAAGATCTTTGGCCAGTATTTTTCATTTGGGCCTAGAAATACATTTTGGGTACATTCCTTTCCCAAATGTACCAACATTTGAAAGAGAAACAAGGGGAAGTGAAAAACAGATGTTTATAGCAAGGGTTGAGCCTAGAAACAGGACTTCCCACTTAAGATACCCAAAAGGAACTCTAATTCTTTTACCAGCAATTTGCACTCTCTGGAGAGCAGGACCGATAAGATAGCATTGGTCTAGTCAAGCTAGCATAAAGTATATAAAACAAAAGGGAGTCACTCATGTCAACCAAGATGGCTGCCAGTCAGTCGTGACAACTTTGGTTCAAGAAGGAAACTACCTAAGTCATGCTGGACACATCTGGCAGAAGGCACACCAGAGGTACCTGCACATGTGATCAGAACAACTGCGTCTACTGAGCAGGGCCACCCATAGATAGGTTCCTGGGGAAATTCCCACTTGCCATCAGGGTTCCAAGACACTTATCAAGAGACCCAGAAGAGTGGAGTACACCAATTTCAAGGCTCCAGACAACTGCTGAGTCAGCTGAACTCCATGCCAGAGTGCTGCTTCAAACTACCCTGATCCCCCTTGGCATCGGCCACCAGCTTCCCTGTTGCCCACCTGGCTCTGGAGATCCTTCCTTCCAAGATAATGTTGGCCTACTGTGCTGTCTCCAGGACCTGAGGACTGAGGCTCTGGGACTCAGATTCATTATTCCCCATTGATTGCTGTATGTGTTATAATTCTCTTACATTGTTAGAGTGTGAGTAGGGTACTGATGTATGTTGATGTTCTACTTTGAGTGGACCTATATTCAATAAAAGCTGTGAGTGAATGGCATAGTTACCTTCTGTGACTCTTACCTGTTCCTTGGTTCCTCTCCTGGCTGCTCCGCAGGCAGCTAGCCTAGCAGTTGCACCGCTGACTTATAGGAAAGACTGTATCAGGAACATATATATGTTCCTGCTGCAATCCTAAACCTCCTTTCATATAGAACAGAGACGCATAGCCTAGGAAGAGACCAGCAGTTAAACAGTGCTGCCTTTGATGGGGAAGGGAGATGTTTATATTTCTCACAAGATTTTTTTCTCCCCACAGTCGCAGCCCTAATGAAAGCTGGTGCCGATTACAAATTGTTGTGAGGCCAAGTCCACCAACTCCGGATGAGGCACAATGGACGGGTGTGGGCTGTGAGCAAGTTCCTTTTCTCCAGCTCTTCCTGTTAGAGTTCACCAAATTTGGGGGGGATATGGGGTTCTAAAACTGCCTAAATGTGAAAAAACGACACCCCTCACCCCAATAGCAACTCTCCCCCCACCCCCACCCTGCTGTTAGCAGGGTGTTCGGCCTTCTGGCTGACTGCGTTGCCAGTGCTCTAGCGCCAACTGTGTTCCTGACCCCAGAATGAATCAGGGCTGCACCGGGCCTGGCAGAGCTCCCAACACATTTCCTGTCCCGGCTAAGGGAAGTGGCGGTCGAGACTCTGGTGGGGACTCTTGGAGGTTGGGGCCGGAGTGGGGCGGGGGAAGTAAGGGTAAAACCAGCTGTGGAGGGCGGTGACCGTGCTCTAAGGACAATTCCGTGCCCCTGGGTGGGACAGATCTAAGTTGGGAGCAGCTGTGAGCACGGGACCTCCAAGATGAGGCCAGCTCTTGTCCTGTGCTTCCTCTGGCAGACCTTCTGGCCCCGGCCGAGCCACGGCGAGCACCCCACCGCCGACCGCGCGGGCTGCTCCGCCTCGGGGGCTTGCTACAGTCTGCACCACTCGACCATCAAGCGGCAGGCAGCCCAAGAGGCCTGCAACCTGCGCGGCGGGGCGCTCAGCACTGTCCGAGGGGGCGCTGAGCTCCGCGCGGTTCTCGCTCTACTGCGGGCAGGCCCCGGGCCCGGAGGGGGCTCCAAAGACCTTCTGTTCTGGGTGGCACTGGAGCGCGGGAGATCCAATTGCACTTTGAAGGACCAGCCATTGCGGGGTTTCTCCTGGTTGACCTCCGACGCTGGCGGGTCGGAAATTGACACGCTGCCGTGGGTGCAGGAGCCTCAACTCTCCTGCACTTCGAGGAGTTGCGCTGGACTCCAGGCCACTGCGGGGGTCGAGCCGGCAGGCTGGAAGGAGATGCGCTGCCACATGCGGGCCAACGGCTACCTGTGCAAGTACCAGTTTGAGGGCTTATGCCCCGCACCACGCCCTGAGGCTGCCTCTAACTTGATCTACCGCGCGCCCTTCCAGCTACACAGCGCGGCGCTGGACTTCAGTCCCCCAGGGACCAAGGTGAGTGCGCTCTGCCCCGGACAGCAATCCATCACAGCCACCTGCGTCGTGGATGAGGTTGGCGCTCGCTGGGACGGGATACCCCGCGGGGCCGCGCTCTGTCCCTGCCCTGGGGGGTACCTCCGTGCTGGCAAATGCGTGGAGCTCTACGATTGCCTAGAAGACTTGGAAGTCTTTGCCTGCGAGTGTGCTGCGGGCTTCGTGCTGGGGGAAAACGGACGCTCTTGTGTAACCAATGGAGAAGGACAGCCGAACCCAGGGGGAACCGAGGTGCCTACCAGGCACCCGCTGGCCACTGCAACCAGCCCCACGCCGAGGAGAACGTGGTCAACCGGGGCCCATGAGAAACAAGGAGAGAAACCTCATATCCCTGGACTAGGCACTTCAGCGATATATATTCCCGAGATTCCTGGGTGGGAAGCACCGAGCACGTTGCCTACTCTTCAAATGTCCCCTCAAACCAACTCAAAGGCCGCCATCACTTCTTCAGGAAGCGTTAGTCCCACGTCTAATTCGTCTTCCTCTGCCATTCCCCAGGCTTTGGACTCCTCCTCCACCGTGGTCTTCATACTTGTGAGCATAGCAGTAGTAGTGTTGGTGATCTTGACCATGACTGTACTGGGGCTTTTCAAACTCTGTTTTCACAAAAGCCCTTCCTCCCCATCACGAAAGGGGCCTTTGGCCTCTCCCGGTGTGGAGAGTGATGCTGAGGTCACCGCTCAGCACTGCAGTTCCGCACACAATGCAGACAATGGGGTGAAGGTTGCAGTCTGCGGGACAGAGCAGAGGGCGCCTCACTGACTGCGTCTTCTTTGGGCTCCGGAGATACATAGGGAAACGGGACAGTGAGCCCTTACTGTGTGCAGTTTTTCATTTTCAATAAACATGGAAAAGGAAAAGAGGAGCTTATCTGCGGAACTGATAATTCCTATATAAGTTCCCTTCCCTAAATACCCTCTGCTCCACCGAGGAGGAGCACATCTGAACTGGCCGCTCCTTCTCTCATACTGTAAAGGTGGAAGTGCCTTAGGTTGGAACAGGGGCCCAGGATTCTACTGGGGAGAGGTATTTTCTTGGGTTTGTCCTGGGGGATTTTGAGAAGTGGTTGAACCTTTCAAGACATTGGAAGCAAACAGAAAGCAATGTAATTATAAAAAAATTTTATTTTTACCTTGATGGAAAGAAAAACTCTGCCTACTCTGTTCAGACTGGGAGTATATTGGTTTAAAATTCCTAGGCAAACAATAAAAGATTGTTGATAACCCAGACTCAAATATCATTTGTTTCCTGGAGGGGTGATTTTTTTTAAGAAGAGCTGCTGAGGTGCATGCTGGGCACAGCAAAGAAAGTACTTTCTGCTTTACTTTGAGGGGAAAGCTATAAGTTGGTATGAGGAGGAGCAGAACTTTAAGAACTAGTAACTTTTTATTTTTCCTTGGTTCTTTTATACTTTGTTTTCAAAGTCACTGCTACATGTGCACTGTGCTATAAATCTAAACTGTAGTGTTGCCAGCATTGCTGAATCTAGAAGCAAATTATAGTTGACCACCAATTCAAGTGTTTATGCTTTGTCCTTGCTGGAGGAAACAAATGATTTGTTTTACTCTTCCAGTGTTTGTGCTCTCCAGTGTAATGGCCTTCTCAACCAGAGAGTCCTCTCTTAAATATCAGGATGCTGACCCACATTTCCAATGATGGCAATGTTAATTTTCAATGAAAACATTCATGCTAAGTATTGATTTGAAATCTTCTAGGCCCATTCAAGCAAAAGTAAGCTGGATCTCCTCCAAAGTTGCTAGCCATGTGTGCACTGTTTAATCCATGGAAAACTCGAATTCCGGACCATTTCCTCCTCCCTTAATAAAAGCATGTTCAGTGACCATATATGATTATATTGGAATGATTTTAATTTAATAAGTGTCTATGGGCAAAAGTATGGCAGACGGCTTTCCATAAGAATTAGCAGTATAAGAAGAAATGGTAAAGCAGATACCTGTCACCCTGTTATGACTTGGGATATTAGAAAGTAATGTAAATGAAGCATTCCTCTGGAAAGCAATCAAGACACAATAATAATCATTACCTAGTCAAACAGAGATGCCTAGAAAATCTCTCTCTTCTAATAGCATGACGAGTCCTTAAAACTAAGTGTATAGGGGTTGCTGCATGGAGACAGGTAAAGAAACAAGTCTAGCAACCATAAAGAATGAAAACAAAAGGTCTATACCACATTTTCATAAAACCATTTTGATTTTCTTGAGTGTGCAATGTATAAAATACAATCAGGGGTGAGCAAAAATAGATTTACAATTGTGAGTCTATGAAACAGAGTTTATTATTGTATGTATTTATTATTCTATTATTATTTATTATTTTTAATCCATTTTTGTCAACCTCTGTATATATAATGTCCTATAGTATTAACACATTAAAGGAATAAAGTAATGGGTGATGTGCTTCATATGTTAAAGATTTGTCTAAGTAGTTGCATTTAAATAAAATCATAAATGAATTAGAGTTGACAATATTCAAAGGAATTTTAAATAAAATCATTTTACAAACAAATGTGAAGAATAAATAGGTTCAGGTCAATTACTCTATTATTTTCTTCTATTACTCCCCCTTACAAGTAGATCAGTAAAGAATTACAGAAAGCTATTTTATATTTTCATATAATTTCCTTCTATTTCTGGCTATGAAGTCTTCCATGACATTTTGAACTGATGGCAGAATCAGACCAGCCAAGCATGATGCTTAATGGTCAGTGTCCTTCCTCTGTCCTACTTTTGTACATTCACTTCATTGTGTCTCCAACCTCTTTGAGGTCCATTCCTTTCTTACTTAAAATCCTCTGCCCCCACACTCATCTTATAGCATCAGTTCAGTGATTTCCTTACAAGAAAAACTTGGAACCTAACTTAACAGTCTCTCTCTCAAGCCCAAGTCCTGCCATCACCTCACACAATCTCAAAGTCCTCGTGTATGAGTCTTCCAGTGCCCATGCATTTCGGTTCCTTAACCTCCTCACTGCCAATGACCTCCACTTCATCCCTGCCATCTACTCCGACAGTCCCACCTTAGCCTTTCAGCAGATTCTGACACCGCTCTATATCTGCAAACACAGATGCAGGCATTCACATGTGTGTGCACACGTATGTGTTGAGACTTGTATATTAATTAATTTTGCCACTGATTAGAAGTAAACTATTGTTGAACTTTGAGATTCCTTCTTTTTTACAATAATAAGCCATGTTGTGACTAGTAGCTTGACATGGTATCATTCTTTTCCTTTTTTATTTTTTTAATTTCATATATAAAGAAGTTGTGAATACAATAGAAATAACATTTTTTTCCTGAATTATTTCAGTAAATTTCTGACCTAATGCCCCTCACTCCTAAATACTTTAGCGATTACTTCCAGGTTATTTAATATGTTGGCATACAAGTATTCATAGTATTACCATATACTTTATTTCATTTTCATACTATTGATAACAATATCCTCTTTTATTCTAATTTTAGTAGTTTGAGTATTTTTTTTCTTTGGGGAATGGAGTCAGTGTAACTAAAGGCCTGCCAATTTTGTTGATCTATTCAAAGAACTAAGTTTGGGATTCAGTGATTTTTTTCCCCCTATTCTATTTTTAACCACTATTTCATTTATCTCTTATCTGATCTTTATTTCCATCCTTATCCTAGTTTTGGGTTTACTGTGGGTTTTTTTCTAATTTTCCAGGGTGGAAAGTTAGATTTAATAATTTGAGATTTTTCCTTATTAATGCAGGTATTTATAACTAAATAAATTTCTTCTGTTTTTAATGTGATTTTACTGTGGTTTGAAACATACTTTGTATGGCTTCAACCCTTTTAACTTACTGAGTCTTATTTTATGGTCTACCTTGGAGCCTAGCGTATGGTCTATCCTAGAAAATGTTCCACAGGTGCTTGGGAAGATTGTATATTCTGCAGTTGTTGGGAATATGGTAGAAATCTGGTAGGACTAGTTTTGTTAGAGTTTTTCAAGTTTTATTTCAGTTTGATCTTTTCGTTAGTCGTTTAAGATATTATTGAATATAGCTGCCAAGATCACTGACTTTTAATGCTGAATTATCTATCTGAACTTTTAGTTTTGCCAGTCTTTTAAAAAATGTAGTTTGGAACTTTGTTGTTAGGTGCATATGTGTTTATAATTATTAGATGTATGGGCTCTTTTATCATTATAAAATGTCCCTCTTTACCTCTAGTAACTTTTTTTTTTGTCTTAAAGTCTACTTTGCAAGATGTTGGTATAACAATTTTGGCTGTCTTATGATCATTTTTTGCTTGGTATATCTTTTTGCATCCAACGTTTCATAATCATCAGTTAGATATTTGTGTCTTTGAATACAAAATGTCTTCTATAGGCAGTATATGGTCAGGTTATTTTCTTAAATCCATTCTCCAATCTCTGCCTTCTGAAGGGATGTTAAATACATTTGTCATCAATATACTTACTGATAAAGTAGAAGTGACATCTACTATCTCTTATTTGCTTTCTCTATGTCTTATTTCCTTTTTGTCCCTCCATCCCTCCATTACTTTGTTTTCTTTGTATTACATAAATATCGTATAGAATACCATTGTAATTTTCTTATTGTTTCTTTTGCTTTCATAAAGTTTTTTTTTTTTGTAATTGTCTGCCATGGGGATTACAATTAACATCTTAATTTAAAGACTGTATAATTAGTCTAAATATCAACTAATTTCAATTGTATAACACAATTTTTGCTGCAGTGTAGTTGCTATACCCTCACTTGGTGATGGAGTCAGTTTAAGTGAAGGACTGCTACCCACCTCCTTCTTTGTGCCATTGTTGTCAATTAAATTACATCTTGATACACTATAAGCCCATCACAGTTTTATAATCATTGCTTTATTATATATTATTTAAAAATTATATAGACTAAAAAGTTATAAGCAAAAATACACTTATGCTGTCTTTTATATTTACCTGTATAGTTACCGTTATAATGTTCATTATATCTTTGTATGGTTTTGTCACTGGCTAGTATCTTTTATTATCATTCTGAAGGACTCCCTTTAGTGTTTCTTATAGGACATATTTGCTGGTGACAGAGTCTCTCAATTTTGTTTACTTGAGAATGCCTTAATTTCTTCTTCATTTTTGAAGAAAAGTTTTGGTGGATGTAGAATTTTTACTTGGTAACCTTTTCTTTATAATGCTTTGTTTAAGTCATCCCACTGCCTTCTGTGCTTCGTAGTTTTCTATAAAAGTTAGTTAATTTTATTGAGGATCCTTTGTAATTTTAAGCTTCTTTTGTGAGACTGCTTTCCTGTTTCTTTGTATAGCTCACACATTTTGTTAAAAACTGGGTGCTTTAGATAACTTAATGTAGCAGCTCTGTAAATCTATCCCCCAATAGCTATACCATAATTTGTTGTTTTTGCTGCCATTTGTTTGCTTTCCTTGATTAATTCTCTGTCGTGTGACACTACTGAATTAACTGTAACTCTGCTCAGTTAGCTCATCAGTCAGCTAATGATTAATAAGAACTTTATCTATTTATTTATATTTTTATGCTGTTACAGTTGTCCCACTTTTCCCCCTTCTCCCCCACCCCAAAGCCTGTCCCCCATTCTCATAGTCAATTTCCATATCATTATCTATGTCCATGGGTCATCCATAAATGTTCTTTGACTAATCCCTTGACCTTCTTGCATCCAGACCTCACTGCACCCCTCCCCTTTTACAGCCATCAGTCTATTCCATGATATTATTCCTCTGGTTTTGTTTATGATCATTAGCTAATTTTGTTCATTAGATTCCTCTTATAAGTGAGATCATATGGTATTTGTCTTTCACTGACTGGCTTATTTTACTTAGCATAATAGTCTACATTTCTCCTTATACTGTCACAAAAAGTAGGAACTCCTTCTTTTTATTGCTGTGTGTTATTCCATTATGTAAATGTACCATAGCTTTTTTATCCACTCATCTACTGATGGGCACTTAGGCTGTTTCCAAATCAAGGCACGTATAAATAATGCTGCTGTGAACATAAAGGTCCATATATTCTTTTGAATTGGTGTTTCAGGATTATTTGGATATATTCCCAGAAGCAGAATCACTGGGTAAAAAGGCAGTATTGTCTTTAATTTTTTTGAGGAATCTCCATACTACTTTCCACAGTGGTTGCATCAGTCTCTGTTCCCACCAACAGTGCATTAGAGTCCCATTATCTCCATCCTTTCCTCAACAGCA